CTTGTTTGGAAGAAGTACAGCCAGAATGTTCTTTAGAAGCAAGGATGGCAAGTGTCCATCTTACATACTTTGGACATGTTATCAGGAGAGACCACTTCCTGAAGAAATACATCATACTTGGTAAAGTATAAGATCAGTGAACAAGAGGCAGAACCTCAATGAGATGAACTGACCCAGTGGTTGCAACAGTGGATCCAAACACAGCAATGATGGTGGGTAATGCACAGGACCGGACAGGACTTATATTTCCTTCTTAGTACATAGGGCTGCTATGCATTGGTTTGAGGCACCTAACAAAATATCAAGAAGCTCGTACTTTTTCTCTAAAGGAGCAACAACAAAGTAGTTAGATGTATTCCGTCATTCTGTTGTTGCCTGGATAGTTAGCACTTTGCACAGTTCAGCGACTAAGCTCATGAGATGACTTTATAAAAAGACATACAGCATTAGGTCAGAAGGCAAAATATGTCTGTTTGGAACCCTTTCTAGGCAAGGTACAAACTGAGTGTCTTTGACTAAGTATTTAACATTTACAGTCCACAATTTTCTCATCTGATAGCTATGGAGAACAACACTCATACTTACTGTGAATGTTGTGATCATTAGAGATTACTGTATGTAAAGCACCTAGCCCAGCATCTTTCCCATAATAGAAGCTCTCTGAATGGGACCGATTCTGATGGTGATGATGTGCTTAGAGAGGAGGGGATTAGCATGCCAGCTCTTTTCTGTTCCCTTCAGACTCTGGACAGTGTAACAGAGGAGGCAAAGGCAACCTGTTGGCTTCTTGTTGGGCATTGTCCATAGGTAGAAGCTGCAGAAGGTGACCTAAGGCATTGCTGGCACCATGTTTTTATGAGGATTATATGTTGGGGACACCAAGAAGACCCCAGGAAATGTATTCACAATATCTTCAGACAAGGATGGATGTGGAGGTTGTGGCCAACTTTGAGCTGATCTCATGTTGATTTGTGGCCAGATCATGCAGGTAGAGATTTTGTTGCCTAGAGGAACTCAGCTGTGTCTTATCGAGAGAAGGAATTTACTGGAATAAAATTGACCAGAACATAGCTATGTATTGTTTCTACTTAAAGAATTCAATTTAGAAACAACGTTCTTACATTTCCTCAGTCCGTATCCATTATTATTATTTTTTCTCTCCCACCCTCCACAATGCAAATCTTCTATTTGTGTGTCAAAAGAGGAATGCTACATAGCTCATATAGTGTAGAAACCCATTTAGTTTCAGTTTGGCCACAAGGAATGTATATCTGTTCTATGCGGAGCTGGATCCACAGGGAGGAACAGCACTGGGAAGAGGTGAACAGGGATCATAGGATTTTGTTTTTTTGTTTTTTTTAAGTTAAAAAACAAAACCATAATATCGTTGCTGTTGTTAAGTGCCTTTGAGTCAGTTTCGACCCATAGCGACCTTGTATAGGGTTTCCGAGGAGCAGCTAGTGAGCCTGAACCACCAACCTTGCAGTTCAAAGGGCTTTACAGTCTGGCACATTAACCCACAGCATCACATCAGGACTCCAATCACAATATGTATGTTTGTTTGTGTATTTATACTGTAGATGAGGGTGCTTCAAAATTTTCATGGAAAAATGGAATGAAAAGATATATGTGTAAAGACCTCTTTAAAGTGTTAAAGAGCTCAGATGTCACTTTGAGAACTAAGGTGCACCTGACCCGAGCCATGGTGTTTTCACTCACCCAATATGCATGTGAAAGTTGGGCAATGAATAAAGGAGATCACAGAAGAATGATGCACTTGAATTATGGTGTTGGTGAAAAATATTGAAAGTACTATTGACTGCCAGAAGAACAAACAAATCTGTTTTGGAAGAAGTGCAGGCAGAAGGCTCCTTAGAAGCGAAAATGTGAGACTTTGTCTCTCCTTCTTTGGACATGTTTGGTAAGGTGGAGGGTCAACGAAAAAGAGGAAGACCCCCAGTGAGATGGATTAACACAGTGGCACCCAACAATGGGCTCATACATAACAACAATTGTGTGGATGGAACAGGACTGGACAGTGTTTCATTCTGTTGTACATTGCTAAGAGTTGGAACCAAGTCAACGGCAGCTAGCAACAACATGTATGTAGTGTATATGTATATGTGTGTACAAAACACATATATGTATGCGTATGTATGCATGTAGACAATATATATGTATGTGTGTATATGTGAAGATAACATTGTGAAAAATGGGCATTCCAGAATACTGAATTGTGCTCATCAGGAATCTGTACATTGACCAAGAAGTAGTTGTTAAAGAAGGGAATACTAAATAATTTAAAATCAGGAAAGGTGTGGGCCAGGGTTGTATCCTTTAACCATACTTATTCTATGTATATGCTGAGCAAATAAAAAAAAGGGGAAACTGGATTATATGAAGATGAACATGGCATCAGGGTTGGAGGAAAACTCATTAACAACCTGTGATATGCAGATGATACAACCTTGCTCGCAGGAAGTGAACAGGACTTAAACTACTCGTGAAGATCAAAGACTACAGCCTTCAATATGGATTGCACCTTAATATAAAGGAAAGAAACATCCTCACAACTAGACCAATAAATAACATCATGATAAATGGAGAAAAGATTAAAGTTGTCAAATACTTCATTTTTCTAGGATCCATAATCAACACTCATGGAAACAGCAGTCAAGAAATCATATTTGGACAATCCCTCAGCAAAAGACCTCTTTAAAGTGTTAAAGAACAAAGATTAAGAACTAAGGCTCACCTGACCCAAGCCATGGTATTTAAAGTTGCCTCCCATGAATAAGGAAGACCATAGAAGAACTGATACATTTGAGTTATGGTGTTGGAGAAGAATATTGAGAGTACCATAGACTGCCAGAGGCCAAACAAATTGTCTTAGAAGAAATGCAGACAGAATGCTACTTAGAAGTAAGAATGGCAAGACTTCCTCTCTGGTTCTTTGGACTTGCTGTCAATAGGGACCCGTTTCTGGATATCTTGTAGACATCATGCTTTCATAAAGTGAGGGTCAAAGAAAAAGAGGAAGACCCCTAACAAGATGGATTGACATAGTGGCAGCAACAATGGACTCAAGCATAAAACCAGTTGCGAGGCTG